GCTTTTCAATGCTAGGATTTCAGTTTGATTTTTTTCCCCAAAATTTCTGTATCTTTATTGAATTTCTCTTTCATATCATGGTTGTCCTCCTTATTTTGATCATCTGTTTATTTGTATTCTCTTGGAATTCATTCAGTTAGTTTATATGTGTCCTCTTTAATTTTGTTGATCATTCTTACAATTATGCTTTTGAGTTCTTTGGGCTTTAGTCCTCTTCATTATCCTTAGTGTTTGTAAAACCATGGAGATGTTGACCTTGTTTTTTCATACTTCTTGTGTTTCTGTATTAACATTTACACATCTGAGGCCAAGTTATTGGTTGGAAGTTTAAGCACCTGTAGTCTTCAGTTGAAGTGTTCTCGACATTCAGGCAAGACGGTAGAGTGGCAGGGTTTAGGTGTAGTTTCTCACCATTGGACTGTTGTACAGTTCAATAGCCAAACTTCTGCCAACCTGCTCAGAGCACTAGGCCTGATCCCTCAGATAGAGACTAGCTGGAATCTCTTATAGTTCCTGTGTTTGGCTTGATATGTGTGGGTTGCAAGCAGGGTTGGTCAAGGGTCAGTTGTTTACTTCTTTGCTACTTTCACCTTAGAAGTTTCCCTTCTTTGTGTCCTGGAAAAACCACTTCTGGCCACTCAGTGCTTTGTAGTCTATGGGCCAGACATGTTCCCACTTACTACACAAACCCCCAGTTTGTGCCCCCAGAGACACCTCACACACAACGCTAGGGGAGTCTCCCAAATTCATCTGATAATGTAGGGAACAAACAGAGCACTGAGTTCTATACTGGTGGTGGAGAACTGAGGCACTCAGGTCTTCTGCCTGCAGGTTTCCGTTCTTTCAGACCCTACTCAGAAATTTTTTTTTGATTTTTTTTTTTTTCATTTTTCTTTTATTATTCATATGTGCATACTAGGCTTGGTTCATTTCTCCCCCCTGCCCCACCCCCTTACACCCCATCTCGCCCCCTCCTCCCCCCTTATACCCAGCAGAAACCTATTTTGCCCTTATTTTCTAATTTTGTTGTAGAGAGTATAAGCAATAATAGAAGGGGACGGGTTTTGCTGGTTGAGATAAGGATAGCTATACAGGGCATTGACTCACATTGATTTCCTGTGCATGGGTGTTACCTTCTAGGTTAATTCTTTTGTGATCTCACCTTTTCTCTAGTACTTGTTCCCTTTCCTATTGGCCTAGTTGCTTTTAAGGTATTGACTTTAGTTTCTCTGCGTTAAGAACAATGCTGCTAGTTTTTAGGTGTCTTACGCCTCAACCCTCCCTTGTGTGCTCTCGCTTTTATCATGTCTCTAGTCCAATCCCTTGTTGGTTTGCCCTTGATTAATGTCCACATATGAGGGAGAACATAGATTTTTGGTCTTTGGGCCAGGCTAGATCACTCAGAATGATGTTCTCCAATTCCATCCATTTACAGAAATGATAACATTTCATTCTTCTTCATGGCTGCATAAATTCCATTGTGTATAGATACCACATTTCTTAATCCATTCGTCAGTGCTGGGGCATCTTGGCTGTTTCCATAACTTGGCTATTGTGAATAGTGCCACAAAAACATGGATGTGCAGGTGCCTCTGGAGTAACAGTCTTTTGGGTATATCCCAAGAGTGGTATTGCTGGTCAAATTGGTAGATCAATGTTTAGCTTTTAAGTAGCCTCCAATTTTTTTCCAGAGTGGTTGTACTAGTCTACATTCCCACAATAGTGGTAAGAGGGTTCCTTTGTCCCGCATCCTCGCCAACACCTGTTGTTGGTGGTGTTGCTGATGATGGCTTATTCTAACAGGGTGAGGTGGAATTCTTAGCGTTGTTTTAATTTGCATTTCCTTTATTGCCTAGAGATGGTGAGCATTTTTTCATGTGTTTTCTGGCATTTGAATTTCTTCTTTGAGAAAGTTCGTTTAGTTCAGTGGCCCATTTCTTTATTGGTTCATTAGGTTTTGGGAGAATTTAGTTTTGAGTTGGGTGATATACATGGATCTGGTTTCAGTTTTTGCAGACTGCTAACCAGTTTGCCCAGCAGTTTCTGTGAAAGATGCTGCTATTTCTCCATCGTTATATTTTTAGCTCCTTTGTCAAAGATAAGTTGCTTATAGTTGTGTGGCTTCATATGGGTCCTCTATTCTTTCCACTTGCGTCTCATGTCTGTTTTTGTGCCAGTACCATGCTGTTTTTATTGTTATTGCTTTGTAATATAGTTTGAAGTCAGGTATTGTGATACCTCCTGCATTGTTCTTTTGACTGCCTACTCAGAAATTTATCACCCTGTGTGTGGGAAGAGTCTGGGAGATTTTGTGTGATCCCTTGGTCCATGCTCAGAGTTCTCAGCCCTGCCTGAGCACCAAGAATTGCAGCCAGCAGTTAGCTCCTGGATGCTGAGCACTCTGCCAATCATGGGCTCTGTGCTTCTCAGAGAATGGGACTTGCTCTTATCAGGAAGAACACTACTTTTAAGTAGATCCACATCAGCCCCTCTCCCTCCATCACCCCATCTCATGGCTGTCTACCATCCTGATACTGTGGCCAGGTGTCCAATGACTCCCTGAGTTGCAGTTGTTCATTATCCCCAGAATAGGTCAATCTCAAACCATACCTGGTGACAAACCTCCACTGCCAGCAAGCATCTCCTCAAGCCAGAGCACTATGCCAGCTGTGGGTTCAGTGCTCTATTTTCACAGTGATCTTCAGCACTACTCTAGCCAAGGAGCACGCCAACTCCTGGTTGTTTAAACTTTCCTTGGTCCACGTCAGACCCTGTCACTCTCGACAACCACATCTCATGGGTGTCTCCTAGACACTAGCCGAGTATCCTAAGACTCCCTGAGCTGCAGTTATTTGTTGTCTAAAAGATAGCTCAGTCCCAAACCCTACTGGCAGCATTCCCCACAGCCAGCCGGCTCAGAGCTCTGTTTCCAAAATGTTCCTCAGGCAATGAAACTTACTGTCATCATTGCCCTTCACGAACCCTTTCACTTCCCTAGTTCTTGGTTGCTTAAACTTCTCAACTTGCCCTGGTCAGCCCCTCTCCCTCTTTAGTGCTATCTCTTGTAGCCACCAAGAACATTTTCTTCCTTAACACTGTGGCTAGTTGTCCTGAGATAGTCTCAAACTGTATGTTCTCTGTCAAGATGGTCCCTAGCCACAGCTCTCCGAGATAAAAGGAATGAAAGAGGGCTTTGATTGCTTTCTCCAATGTTAGCCTGTCTCACAGGGGCAGATGTCCAGGTGTGTGGGCTTATCCCACAGCTATATCTGGTAGTTCATTACCAAGGCCACCTAGCTTACCCTGTGGAGGCTTCAGCTTCCCTTTACCCTCCCCAGAGGAGCTGGGGCTGAGCTGCAAACTGCTTCCTAATTGACGCTGCTCCTTTCTTTTTCTCCATGCTTTTCAGCTGTCCTGTCCCTCTTTCATGGTTCTCAGTGCTCTTCCTTTCTTTCTTCCAAATACAGTCTCTCCTTTGTTATCCTGACTCCTCTCATTCACTGAGTCAGATGGAGAAAGCTTCTACCTTGCCCTCTTGCCAGCCAACCTGAATATGCTCTAGTAGTCTATATTCTGATACAGTGCTTACTGTAAGCATTAATTCTGAATTATACTTTGAAATTACATGCTCACCCCAGTAGCATGAAATGCAAGCCCAATTTACTGACTCCTATTCTAACCTGAAAAATTCATATCCCCTCTCTTGGACTTTGCTATGCTTGCCATTCAAGCTCCTGGAAAGCAAAAGTAATTTGATGAGTTGTCCTTCTACTTTCCAGGGGGAAAAGCACCTTCTCATGAGCAGAGGCTTCATGTGGTTCATATTGATTGCCAGCAGCTCTTTAGAGAAGAGAACAAAATCTCAAATTCCACAATGACCATGCCACACATTTGTAGCTGCTTTTATTTTTTATTATTTTCCAGGTTGGTTGGTTGCTGATAATATTTAGTAAATATTTTAGTGGTCCTGGATATAGGTGAAACAGACTTTGTACTATCAGTCCAATCTGTCCTGTACAAGTTTTTCTGATTAGTTATAGACACATTTCCCTCAGAGGAAGATTCTGGGTTGTTGACCATCGTGTGTGTGTGTGTGTGTGTGTGTGTGTGTGTGTGTCTACCACTCTCATTCTAACATTCTAATTTACTCATTTTTAAGAATGTGCCGAAGACCTGATACAAAGAGACTTAAAGTATATCATCTGACCTTGGACCTTGTTAACATTTCCACAAATAAACTCCTTTGTTAAGGACTTAATCATACTGGCTGTGCTGTTTCATTAAAAGGCAGTGCTCTTCTTTCTGTTTTGTTTTGTTTTCGGCAGTACTAAGATTTGACTTCAGGACCTCATGCTTCCTAGGCAGGCATTCTACCACTTGAGCCACTCCACCAGCCCTTTTTTGTGTTGGGTGTTTTCTAGATGGGGGTCTTGTGAACTATTTGCCTGGGCTGACTTCGAACAGTTTTCTTCCTTATCTCTGCCTCCTGAGCTAGGATTATAGCATGAGCCACCGGCACCCAGCAGTGATCATTGTTTATAAGGTAGCACTGATTGTAGTTTTTTTTAAAAAATTGGCTCTAAATCTTTTAGAGTTCATCTTTGATACCATGTAACATTTAACATATGTTGTTGCTTGGTCATTACAGAAAGTTCTATGTAAATTGAAAAAACTAAGATTAAAAATGAAATGAACAGTAAGTACGTATATTAGTAATGACATTGTTAGAAGCCTTTATGGAAAGCTACTTGGACTATTTGCTTTATATTCTTATTTTATATCAGGAAGTGTTTAATGTGACATTTTCTTTTAAAGAAATCTTTAATAAGGTCATGGGATGACCAGATAAATTCTAATTAGCCCAGAATTACTTTATTAGCTTGTGTGATGCTAATAATATGACACACAGCTTGTCAGTCAACTCACAAATGGTAAAGGGTGAGAAGATACTATACTGTTTACAGTTAATTCAGGCTCATGATAATATCTTAAATTTTTAGGTGGAAAAATTCCTAAAATATGTTAATGAACGAGATGATGAAGCATCACAGGAATCATTTTTACACTGTCACATGGAAGACACTTGCACAAGCAGTGATTCAGAAGACCAAGACATGTCTGCTAAAACAGCTGATTACCCAATGGAGACTAGAAATCCAGAACCTGAAAAACGTGAGGCCATCTCTTCAGCTGGGGAATTTGAAACAGAAAAGAATGAAGGCTACAGCTTGGTAGCAGCTGTTGCAGAGAAGCAAGATTCTGTAACTGAAGAAATACCAGACTGTCCTCAGGTAGACACTGAAGGTAAGAGCATCTTTAGATGCTTCAGTTTCCTTGTGAATTTCTGTGACTATATTTTTTCTTTAATTTGTACTTAGTTTTCACTTTTGCGCCATTTATGCCTCAGGATTTATTGTCAATTTGAAGGTGAGAGAAGGCATATTAAGGTAAATGTGCTAACCCTAAGCACATTTGGCACCCCAAGCACTCTTCACTCTCAGCTAAGTAAGCAAGAGAGTATCAAAAGGAAAACTCATGGGAATACTGCATATGAGGACCACAGCTACCTTTGTGGTTGGTCTCTGCTGCTACTGTTCCTTGGGGTGGCGTGGCCCATCCTTCTTGAAATGTGTTGTAGCTTGGTTTTCTTTTTGGTAATTCGTTTTGGGGTTTTTTTTGTTTTTTTTTTTTAAGTTAATTGTGGTAGTTTGTGGGGGGCAGTTTGATGGTTTATTGACATAAAAGTATTCATAATCCTTAGACTCTAATGAATGGAAAAAAGTTACATTTTTGCTTTATGTCCTTTTGTACTGTTGGAATTTTTTTATAGCAAAAGGTTTTTGATAATTCAAAAGTAAAGTTGTAATCAGTGGAACATTGAAACTTTTTTCATAAGGTAGAACTTTTCATTTGATACAGTACTCAGTATGAACCATTTTAGATTTGTTCTTACAAAACAACTATATTGTGATCCTTCATTATTTGTTTCTGAATTTAGTGTTGAGGAAAATAACTCGTTTGAGTTGAGTAGACTTGCTTTTCTGTGTGTGGGTAAGCATATTTCTATGATCTTTATATCACATATCTCTTTAGGCCTTTCTAAACAACATACTTCAGGTAGTTTAAATTTTTTTATCAGTGTTGTATTAGCCAGTGTTCATATGACACTTGCAGATTTCTGGATGGTTTCTCATGCCTTGTTCTTACTTAATCTACAAGATAGCCCACTAAAGTGGGTGACTTTATTGTCCATTCTATATATACAGAACATAAAGCTCAGAGAAATTAAGAAATTATCCCAAGTAAATGGAATAATAACCTAGAGCTCAGTACCAAGTTCTCTGATTCATAAGTCCCATCTTGCTGTACTACCCTACTTCCATAAACACTAGTTGTCATGATGCTGATAATTCTTACGTGGGGTGATACTGTCTTCACACAGGCATTTGGCATATGTTGATTTTTAGAGTGATCGGGGAATTCTGGCATTTAGTGCTTAGGTTACTTAACATTATGGCAGTTACGAGATAGACTTTAAACAACAACACATTATTCTACCCAGAATTGTCATTCTATCTGTTGAAAAATACTTACTTACAGTACTTTGCTATTGATACTTTTTGCTATTTCCAGTGATCCAATGACCAGATCAAAACATAGTCCTATCATTGAAGACCACTTAACTATAATAGTGTTTTGTCAGCTATAATCTCACTTTTATATTTAACCGTGACTGCACTCATCTTTCTGCCTTGCTGCTTCTAATCTGCTAGGGATTTAAGCCAAATAATCAATAATCAAACTAATAATCATTTATTAAAGAAAAGGAACTCATTCAGCCTGTGATATCTTTTTCTATGGAATGGAAAAAAATGTATCAATTTCTCAGATGCCATATGTTTTTTAGGATTAATATGTCAGGGCAACAGCTTTATTGGTCCTTGGAAGATTTTGTTTTAAAGTGAAGAGAAATAGTTACCAACTAAAGTAGTATTGTAGTTAACAGAAATAATAGCTTTTATTCCTATTACAGTGCTTCTGCATACAGGTTTAGTATCCATTATCAGAGATGTTTCAGATTTTGTACTCCTTTCCCCCCCCCCCCAGATTTTAGAATATTTGTGTATATGTGATGATATCTTGGAGGTAGGACCCAAGTCCTGTCACACATTCATTTATATTTCCTATGCACCTTATACTCATAGCCTGGAGATGTATAATTTTATACACTATTTTTAGTGTGCCTGGGTTTTGACTACAACTGGTCACATGAGGTCAGTGTGGAATTTTCCACTTGTGGTGTAATCTTAGCGCTCAAATAGTTTCAGATTTTGGATCTCATCATTTCAGATTAGGTATGCCCAACCTGTATCTCCTGTCCATGCTGCAAATGAAGTTATTAAAATACTAAGCATTCATTCATTCATTCATTACTTTTATAGGAATAAAATACTGGAGCTTAGAAAGCCTGAGTTACTTTTCCAGCCTTTCAAGGTAGTAACAAAACAAAGACTGTGATCTGAAGCAAGTGGTGTTTCCCTCCTGCTGCTGTGGGTGGGTTGTTCATTACAGAAGTGTTCTGGAGCAATTCAAAATTGTGATTATTTGCCATGGCTACCCCTAGCAGATACATTGCTCTGTGGTTTTCTTTTCTTTTTTCATAGTGAGCACCTGTATTCTTTGTTTTTTGTTTTAGCTGAAATAAAAAAGAAAAAGAAGAAGAAAAACAAGAACAAAAAGGTAAATGTTCTGCCTCCTGAGATAGCCTCTGTTCCTGAGCTGGCAAAATACTGGGCCCAAAGATACAGGCTCTTCTCCCGTTTTGATGATGGGATTAAGTTGGACAGAGGTAACGTATATGCATTTTTTCACTCTGTTTGTCATTCTGTGTTTGCATGTGTGTGTGTTTTTCTGATCAATTGCAGATATCATGCCACTACCCTTTAATACTTTAGCATGCATTTCCTAAGAACAAGGATTTATTGATTTATTTGGACAGTACTGGGGTTTGAACTCAGGGCCTCACACCTGCTAGGTAGGCGCTTTACTACTTGATCCATGCCCTCAGCCCTAGAACAAAGATATTTTTATGTAAAAATAATAAATTATTTCTACAGGGTTTCATCAGTTATCTTAATCATTTCCTTTATAGAATTTTTTTTCTGTTCCAGTGCAGGATCATGTATTGCATTTAGTTTCCATGTTTGTTTAGTTCCTTTAATCTGTAATAGTTCTTCAGACTCTCACAACCCCTGCCTTCATGTCAGAAATTGAACCCAGGACCTCACATGTACTAGACAAGTGCTATACCATTGAACTATACCCTGTCCCTATTTAAACATTTTTCAAAGGAACAGAGGCCAGTTATTTTATATAGTATCCTCAGTTTGGGTTTTTATGATTCCGGTATAACCTATATTTGTAACATCTTAAGATTGATAGCAAAAGTAATCATTAACTGTTAAAAAGAATGTCTAATGAAGAATTACCAAGAACAGAAAGTTATACTTTAATTAATTGGCACTGGAAATTTATAATTCTTCCTCAATCTTTCCTACTCTGATCCTGAACAATTTTCTTAACTCATTCGGTCTTTGTTAATTCTCAAAATCAGGAGGTTTTATTCTATGGTAGAATTTTGGGGTTTCTATAAACTCCTTATAATAATTTGCAAAATGTAAGTGTTGAGGAAAGTTTATAGTGGTTCATTAGGAGAAACAAGACTGGAAAACTTTGAAGTTCTATAAAAGGAATTTATACTCTTTCTTCCTGTAATAAGGAGCCATTACAGTTTTGTAAGGGGAAGAAACAGGAAAATTGGCACATCACTTTGTTCAGAGAAGTATGTTTCTGAGAAATGTAAATTTCGTCTGCTGGGAAAGGAGAGCAGTATTCTCTGTCCTCCAAAGTAAGCATAGTACCTCATTTCTGAAAATAATGAGGGTTCTGCTATTCAGACTGTACTTGTGCAACTCTGCAGCTATCAGTTCTTGCTTTTTCTGACCCTTAAAAACATAAATTTCACCAAAGTGTCCAGTACAAATCTGGGTCATTGCTTCTCTATTAAGGATGAAGTAATTGGGAAACTCAGTGGAGTGTAGGGTGCTAGCCAATTAGACCTGCTGACTTCCCATTTTCCACTGTAGATGAGCAATAGTTCATGCTTCATACAGAAAAATCAAAGTTGTATGCAACTATTGGAGAGATGGGGGTTTATCTTAGATAGATCAGGGTAACAATTGGAGTATTTACTATTATAGAACTTAGAAATAAGAATGGTACTACTTTTTTTTATAGCAGTCTTTGTAAAACTTTTCTTTAATGCCAGGTAATTTAGTTTTTTTAAAAGAAAGCCAAGCTTTTTGAAGTATGTAATGTATAGTTCTGTTTGCTTTGCATATACGTGGCTTGGTTTCTTGACGTTGACCATCTTAACAGAAATACCCTTGCTTTGCAGAGGGCTGGTTTTCAGTTACACCTGAGAAGATTGCTGAACACATTGCTGGACGTGTCAGTCAGTCCTTCAAGTGTGGCACTGTAGTAGATGCATTCTGTGGAGTGGGAGGAAATACCATTCAGTTCGCCTTAACAGGAGAAAGCGGTAAATAGTCACCAGTGGAAGAGAACTGGTTCATTTCCAGCTCATTCAGTAAATGCTGAATTTTTCTTTAGCCTGTTTTTCTGAGATTCAATATATAATTGTTAATTTCATTCTAAATATTTAAAATAATAGATTATCACATCTATTAGGTAGTCATTTTGTATGGATACTGATGTAAGTGCTTAATATATATTAAGTTATTAACCAAAATCTTGTGAAGCATGTCTTTTGCTGTCTGCATTTCAGAGAGAAATTGAGAAGAGATAAAGTGAGTTGAATTAGATTATGGACACATCTGCTAACTACTGGGGTCAAGATTATAATATTCTATAAAGCCAAAAATATTAAAATTGGTTTTCAGAAAGAACAGTAGATAGGGAATCCCTGCTTTGCCTCTCACTCACTAGCTTTATGACTTTAATTTGAAGGAGGCTGGACTGAGATAGCTCTGTGATACCTTTCAGCTTTAGCATCCTTAGGCTCTAAGAATTATACCAGCCTCATGGCTGTTTGACTTTGAAATAGGGAGAAAGAAAATCAACTTTGCCATTTATGTACTAGTTACTGTGTTAAGTAGGTAGTATGCTTTTTTCCTGGGAAAAGAAGGCTTAAAAAATGGGTGAGGTGTAGTGGCTCATATACATATTCTTGTCTAAGCAGAAGGTGAAAACGGGAGGGGGAGGATCATGGTTTAAGGCCAGCCTAGGCAAAAAAAAATGTTAGCAAGACCCTATCTCATAAAACAAGCTAGTGGAGCACAGTAGCTCATGCCCAAATCCAGCTACGCAGGAGGTGGAGGTACAAGGATTACCATCCAAGGTTGGCCAGGGCAGAAGTATGAGACCCTACCTGAAAAATAAACTGAAGCAAAACAGGCTGGTAGTGTGACTCAGGTTGTAGGGCACCTGCCTAACAAACATGAGAGTGTGAGTTCAAATCCCTGTACCACCAGAAAAAGAAAGAAAGAAATGGAATGTTCTAGAGCTGGGCATAGTGATACACCTCTATAATCCCAGGTCCTCAGAAGATGTAGGCAAGAAGATTACAAGTTCAAGGCCAGACTGAGAAAAGATAGCAAGACCACTTAACTCAAAACAAAAACAAAAGTACTGGTGGCACAGCTAAAGTAGTAGAGTGCTTCTCTAAGTTCAAACCCAGTATCACGGGGTTAGGATGGGAGGGTGCCTCAGTTTTTTTCTGACTCTGATATCCCTTCCCTTTCTAAATTCCTTTTTAAAAGTTGTATAATGTGATGTTTTAAAGGCAGCCAAGTATCCTCAAGATGCTTATTTTCTCAGTAGCTTCATATTATATATATCAATCAATGATAGCTTCCATTTCAACAGATTTCAGTAGAATCTCATTAATTTGTGTGAAGTTCTTAATATTAATTACAAAAGTATAATATGACTCTGTAAGGCATAGTATGGAAGTCTTGCTATTGGTTTTAAGACCAGTGTTGGTAAACTGTGGCCTTTTTTCAGTTGCTCCTATGCTCCAGGCAGAACATTTGTTAACTTTGTATAACCTCCTAACAGCCTAGAGAAAAACCTGTTTTCACATTTACCAAGTAGTAATTATTTCCCCTGGATTCACTACCTACTGTCAAATTTCTCTTACACTTTGCCAGATAAGCCATTCCTATGAGATCAAATCAATATATATTGCCTAAAAATGCTTTTTCCTTAACAATTATAAAATTCATCTTTTAGTTTTGTATGAAACACATGATTAAAATATCTATCCTTGATGAAGCAAATAGATCTGGAATTTTTCTTTAAATATTCTGGAAATCATTTCTACTGTAGATTTGTATTTTAACAAGTGAAGATCTGTTCCCAAGACTTTCTATAGATCTACTACACATTTGGCAAAAGAAGATGTCAATGTATGTCCAAAACTAAACAAAAAACTATCTCTTCCATGTTTTCACAGGCCACCTCCCTTCACAGCCCATTAGTATTACTTAACCACGATCTCTTACTGATTTCCAGCCTCTGAGAAAACAGAGACACATAGACAATCCTAGGCCTTCCCAGTACCATCACAACCTAACCTCTGTCCCAGCAGCACGTGAGACTGGAGTTGATGAACCCTCCTGCATATTCAGTATAATGGTGTCCCATAACCGATCCCCAGATCAGAAGTGGTTGCACAGAGGTGCCCTGTGAATGCTAATTACAGATAATATTCCCTAAAATTCCTGTAGGATGGTTGAGCTGACTACACTATGGCAAAGAATTCAAAAGAATTATAGGATAATTGATTGTGTGTATTTGTATATACATACTTACATATACACATAGTTATTTACACTTAGCTCTTGAATTCCCTACCATAGTTCAGTCATGTGGGCTTGAGGAAACGACTGTATCCCTTTTTTGCCAGATTTATTTATGTATTCTAGTAGGTAAGCATTAGTGCTGCCCAGTAGAACTTCCGTGGTAAGGAAAAGGTTCTGTGTCTGTATCACACGCACCAGTTGAAACTGCCAGTGTAGATAAGGAACGACATTCTTCTTTTTATTTATTTTTGAGAAAGATTATTGCTAGGTAGTTCAGTCTGGCCTTGAACTCACAATTCACCATCCTCCACCTCCTGAGTGGAGACTTATGTATGTGTACCACCATGTCCAGCATATTCTTCTATTATTTAATCTTCATTAATTGAAAGATAATTGTTATATGGGGCTAGTGGCTATCATTTTGGGGCAGTACAATTCTATATCATCAAGTTACTTGTCAGCATTTCATATATGTGGTAGAGTGCTTACATTCTGTTAGGCCTGAAAAGAAAGTTTTCCTCCAAAAGAAATGTAGATGAAAATAGTATTAACTGAGTAGATGTGTCATTGAAGGTTGTTTCTTCTTTTGAATTTTTGATGTTGTCACCATATTTTTCCATCTATCTCTGAGCTATGAAAGTAGCAGTTTGAACAGCTAAAAAGAATCCTTTCTTTTATAAATGTGAATTTTTATTTAGAACAGATCTTGCAATATATATATTATAATTGGCAATCATGTTGTATTAACAATTATAGTGTGTGTGTGTGTATATACACACACATATATATTCATTATTCGAGTGATTTTGTTCATTATTTCTCAGAAGCATAAACAGATTTGAAGCTACATTTTCTGGAAAACAGCTATACTTCCATGGTAGCCACACTGTGTACTTAGTGCCTTTTCATGTGTAGAATATGCCTTAATTCACTGGTGCACTTTCAGGTCCACTACAGTAATTTACTGCAAAACATGAATGAGCTAAGATTAATTTCTGTTTGCATATTTATTATGAAATTGTAATAAGTTAAGTGAAAACAGTACTGTTTTCCTCTACTTAAAATGTCTCAGTGAAACATCAGTAGCAGATGCTTTTCCATTTCTTATTCATAACTTGGTTGTATAGGTTTATAAAAATGTTTTATTTTGGTTTTCTACAGAAATTATCAAATTTGTCTCCACTTGGGCATTATCTTCTGAAAGCCACATTAGGCTTTACAGGCTGGTGGCACCTTTGCAGGTGTTGCCTGGTGTATATAGCACAACTAGGCTGGCAACATAATTGGTACTTGTAGATACTTTGTGGCAGCTGTTGCCACTTGCTTAGGTAGGCTGGCTGAGTGAGACACATCTGAAGTTTTCTTACATAACCACAAGTAAGTCTTTCTAATTTAAATATTTTAAACTAAAGTCTGTTTCTGGTATATGTAGCCAAGTATCTTTAAAAACCTTTGAAAAACAGATTGGCAGACTGTTGGAAAGATACACTCTTCTATATAACTAATAATCAGTGTTAACTGCTCATTTTTTCTTTTCTTGGTTTTTTAGTGATTGCCATTGATATTGACCCTGTTAAGATTGATCTTGCTCGTAATAATGCTGAAGTTTATGGAATAGCAGATAAGATAGAGTTCATCTGTGGAGATTTCCTGCTCCTGGCTCCCTGTTTAAAGGCTGATGTTGTGTTCCTGAGCCCTCCATGGGGGGGACCAGACTATGCCACTGCAGAGACCTTTGACATAAGGACAATGATGTCTCCTGATGGATATCCTTTGAAAGTCCTAAGAGGAAGGGTATATGTGTGTGTGAGAGAGAGAAGTTACTGAAGAAGGGAGATATTAGCTAATAGCATTTGATAGATTCCTGTTTATTTTAAACACACACACTAAAAAGTAATAATGTAAAAATTATGTAGATGTTGACCTCTAAAAGTAATACCAAATGTGAAGTCATATTTCCATTGATTACTGCAATTTTACTGTTATAAAATAAGAACTAGAATACATTTATTGTTTGGAAATTAGAAGTTTCTTTAAAACCTATTCTTAGAATCTGTGAGTGACCATCCCATAACTTTTCTTCAACTCACACTGACTTGGACTGATGTACTGTGTATTTTGACATTATTCTTTACTGGCAAGAAATTATATGCTTTCCTATTTTTCGTTCTGTTTTCTCAATTGGAAAGACAGAAAGATGAAGAGTATGTATTTCTGACTTTTGGCTACTTACCACTAGGATAATTGAGGAAATAAGTTTCACTTCTAATGTTTAACCTACATGTGATGGTATGATACTGGCTTACAGAATTCTGTATTTACTTCTCTTTAGGTTCTATCGGAGAGTTTAAGTTTGTGCCTTTTTATTACATACCAGAATACATATGGTTTATGATAAGTAAAAGATCTTTTTCTGATCAAAAATTAAATTTTTTTCTTAACTGCTCTGTACCTTTGAAATTTTCAGACTTTCCCAGGAGATCACTAAAAATATTGTTTATTTTCTTCCAAGAAATGCTGATATTGACCAGGTAAGCCATTATTGGAGAACTTCTATGAGCCTCTGGCTTAATTGTTAGAAAGAATAGGCAAAAAAAGACTAGGGACATTTCTTTACCAAAGTCTTGGCCTTGTTGACAGTTATTAGCAATTGACAGTGTTAGCAGTTAGATCTGTGTCTGCTGCACCATTTTCATAACCACAGTCCCTGGGGGACATAGACACAAATAGAGAGCACACTAGGCTTTGACAGTGATGCACTGAAAGGACAATTGGATGTACTGTGTTTCAGGTGGTGTACAACTAAACTAGCCACAATATGCCTTTACCAAGGCCTGCCTTGAAAATAGAGGTTAGAAGTATTACTGAAAAAAGTAGCATCACCAGAATTATGGAGAGAAAAGACCTCGTTTCTGGGGTATCTGTTATGTGTTGGTCTTCCATATCTACATTTCCTGGTGTTTTAAACGTTCCTTCTAGATTACCTCAATCTCATCTTTCAAGTTAAGTATATCCATTCTCTTATGAAGTCCAATTTATCTATATTTTGTGTGAGTTATCATAGCTAAGAGTTTTATGGTTTTAGCTGAGTAGCTTTTTAAAACCACTGATGTACTGATCTGCTGGGAAATTCTCTGCTTTATTTTATGGGGTGAGTCCCAAGCATAAGTTTGTGAAGCTCCCCAAGTGATGGTAATGTGCTCCAGAGTTGAGAGGCCTTTTCTGGGTTAAAAGAATAGTAAATGAAATGAGCAAGTTCAGCTCTTACTCAACTTGAGTTTGAATGAAATGAAATTCTGTCTTGCTGCCTATTGTCTATGATCCATTTGTCTAAATGTTAGGCCCCCAAAATATTATGTTATACCAATTATAGAAAAAGGTCATTATCCCTTTGTGTCATGAGTTTTTATATCAAATTTTATATTAAATTTATTATCTGCTACTCATGTGACTCTGAAAGTTCCAGGTGGAGCTTTCTTATTCCGTAATTCTTAATTTTTCTCTTATGTAAGCATTTTACTCCATAACTATCTCCTAAGAGACTATTATCTTCACTGGGTGTATTGTGATCCTTAACACTACATACAGACAGGCTCATTTGGGTACTTGGAAAGTTGCCATTTAGTGCAAAAGATTCAGTAACTTTTTTTTTTTCCAGTTATATTAATACTTTCAAAGAGAAGGTTAACTAACTTTTCCTTTGTTTTTGACTTTGAAAATCTTCCAGGATTAAGGTTGTAGTTTGTTTTCTGCCTCTAGAGGGAGTAATGGCACTAGAGAATACTACAAGACAGGAAACTAGTGAGATTTAAATTATGATGGGAAGTCAACTTTTTCTTCTTAAATCAGAGAACATTTATCCATATTTGGGGTTTTTTAATGAGAGAGATAGTAACACAAAACAGAGAAATCAGAAGTACATAGCAGTTGACTTTTTTATTCAGGAACATTTAGACTTTCACTACAACATGAACTTAGAAATGGCTGAGTTCCCAAAGTTTATGAGTTTGCCATTTGAAACTCAACTGCATTTTTCCCACAGAAATGTCTATAAAAAAACAGGTCATTTCCCATCTGCAGAGATTGTACTGCATCCTATTTTTGTTTATCCTAAACTGAATATGGACTCCATAGAAACAGAATTTGTCTTATCGATCATTCCATGTAGGAGATGAAGCTAATTGCTCTCTGCATCTAGTGAAATGTTTTTCTAAGTCTCCTATTACTTCGGTCACTGTTTCCCTCTTTTCTTTTGTGAGCTTATTCCAAGACATGTGTCCCTTGCATCCAAACTCTCACTACTTTCGACAGTACTGGGGTTTGAACTCCAGGCTTCATGCTTGAAAGGCAAATACTCCACTGCTTGAGCCACATCTCCAGCCCCCAAACTGTCACTATTAAACCCAGAACTGAATGATTTAGAAAATCATTTTTTGTGTGTGAGAAGCTCTATGGAGGTAAGGTATAACTCACTCTCTAAAATTGCCATTGAAAGATTCACAGAGCCCACAATGAGTATATTTTATCTACCAAACAGCAAGATAAGATAAAGTATCTTGCTGTTTTCCCACATTTCTTTCCTTTGACAGCCATAGAATTCCCATAGAATTCCATTCAGGCTTTGCAAACATGAAAAGCTCCTCTTTTAAGAAGTAAGCCTACACAATATGGAGAGAAGCCTCGGAGCAGGTCTCCAGATGGAAGTTTCACACAGCAATTATCAAACACCACCCTTGTGTGAACTCCCTGTGGGTGGGACCTTCACCACAAAAAGTCTTGCCTCCTAGCCAGGCACGGGAATGATGAGAGCAGGGCTTCTGGTCCATTTGATTCCATAGCTTTTGTGTGATTTTGTAACTAGACCTGAAATGTTTAGTCCCAGAATGCAATAGCACTTACTCTTTTCTTTTCAAATTAAGCCACCTAGTCATGTTCATAACAGTACAGAGAACAGGCACCATTGGGCCACATCCCTAATAATTGTGTTAAGAAAATGCACTCGAAGGTTGGCAGAGTGGCTCAAAAGTGCTGGAGTGCCTGCCTGAGGCTCAGTTCAAACCCCAGCACTGGCGAAAAAGAAAAGATAAACTAGAGGCATTCTAGCAGGTGACTCCTAGTCCTTGTCTGACATCCTCTACCTTCCATTGCTTCTTTAGCTGTACATTCTGATAACAGTTAGGCTAAACACCACCTATTTTATTTCTTAATAAAGGGGAACACATCCTGTGATTGTTTCAGTTGTATCTTTAAGTACAGAGACTGATGTTAGATTTAACCAAGAGATCTTAACTCCTCTTTCTAGAAGGCAATTCTCTAGGCTTCCATTGACTTTTTAAGTTCTATTCCATAGAAGGCCAAAAGTGTAGCTCAGTGGTGGATTACATGCTTAGCATGTACACAGCCTTGAGTTCATTCTCCAGCATAAAAAAAATAAATAAATTCCATTCCGTAATACATAGAGAGGGAAAGGTTCCCAGTCATATCAGTCACTATACTTCTAATAGGGTTTTTCTGGGTGTTTTGTTTTATTTTTGCAGTTCTGGGAATTGAACCCAGGGCCTCTTGAATGCTAGGCAAGTCCTCTACCAATGAGCTACAGTTCCTAATAGTTTATTTTCATAGAGAGGAATGTAAGGTAAGGTTAAAGAACTTGCCATATAGAAAAATAGAATAGTATGCATTTGAATAAATGCATTTATAAACAAGAGAACCTATGAGGTAATATTGTTATTTGGAAATTATTTTAAATATAACAAAATTCAGTTCATTGTCATTTTAGTGGTTTGGGCTGAATACACTAAAAATTTACCACTGTTTTCTTTGAAAATATTAGTTCTGGGTAACTGTGGTATCTCTCTATTTAATAAGTAGAAAATTAAAGCTTTAATAGTTTCTAAATATTAGAATTAATAAAGAAAAGTTGTGTCAAAATGTTCTAAAATTAATATGGTGTAAATCTGGTCTAATGATAGTGTTCTCATATAGCTGAAGCTGTGTTCATGTGTTAAGTACTATGAAGTCATTCTAGCAGGTGGAGGACCCTTACTTAGTCCAGGTTCAGGAACCAGAAACATGAAACATGAGAGAACAGAAAGAGGGTTAAGGACTGGATTAGGTTTCTGGTACATGTAGAAATTATAGGCTCTAAAACAGCTGAACCTGAAAATAGACAGCCTTTACAACTCAGCACACAGAAGTGCATTCATCCTACTAAATTAACAATATGCTGTATTATGTACTTACACTATATAAGTACTTAATAAATGTTTCCTTTAAGTATGGTATTCTAAGCATTCATAGGGTTCTGCACAATTCATTAGATTGTTACAACACCCTGTAATATGATGTCAGGTTATCAGCCTGATTTTATTAATAAATAAACTAGGGACGTTTACTATTTGTCTAGACATTCAGCCACATAATGGCCAGTGTCATAACACTTTGCTGTCTTCCTCTGGCAGGGTATTTATTGCCACAAAGAAACAGATTTATCTATTACCACAGTAGTAGCTTAACTGAGATTGAGAGCAGTAATTTAGAAGTTGACATGACAAGAGACGCAAAGGGGATTATAAAAGAATTCCTGTTGAATCAGTTCTGGTCCATTCCTGTTTCGTACGAAAGGCAACAGACGTCTAAAACTTGTGACAAAGTAGAAGACACTTGTTGCCCTTGAGCTTACCTGCCGCAAGTATTCTCTTATTGCTTGTAGTTGGTGACATCCAGGTTTCTAGATCAATTCTGTTCTTAAGTGAGATTGATATATGTTCATACATAGTGATTCAGAGTAGTAATTAGTTCTAGTATTTGTTATCCACCTTTTCCTTGGCGAACTTGCTACTGCATACATGATCATTCTCTAGAGAGGTGGTGAAACTGACCCTCATAAGGAGGGTTGGGAAGTTACAAGTACAGTTTTGCTGAAATGATTCTGAACCTCTTTCATCATTTTCTCAGTAAATGATGTCAGTAGAAAATAGAGGGATGCCCAGCTCATCTGCCTCAGGGTACTACCTTTCAGTCCTTTCTGATGGGGGTTCCTGGGGCTCTGGTCTCTTGTGCTTTATATAACTTGTTGAATTGAAGAACAGCCCTCATGTTTCCAGGATCCAGTTCTGAGACCCGGTAAGGGACAAAGCTGTATGAGCTGGTTATTGGTCACCTCCCCAATGTAGGTGAGCTTTTGACACCTGGGAGAATTTTTTTTTGACCTGTCACCAGTATGCACCTGTTGATGATGGGGAAAGTCTTTAAAATCACATTTGTTTTAATTAAGTACATATTTGAATAAAGAAACAGGAAGTAATACCTGTGAGAGCCTGAGGTAGGCAATAAAAAGTTACCTGAAACACTGATAGCAAATTAAGACTTGTTACACATATTCATTTCTATTTACTATGTCCAAGAATTGAACCTAATTTAATGAGTATCTGTAAGTTTAATGTTGCCTGGTTGTCTATTGACAAAATTTTATTTTCTTCTTTTACCTCTCTGGAGTTTGAATTCAGGGCCTCATACTTGCTAAACAGGCACTCTACCACTTGAGCCAGTAATCGAGTTTTTGCATATCATAGATATAATCACTGCTCCAGAGCATAAACAGATCATTTTTTCAGTCCTCTTACTTGTCTGCATCTTTCTTAAAATGTTCCTGTTTGTTAAGTATTTATTGTATATTCTCCCAGTTTTGTTTTGTTTTTTAAGAAAGACGAAGCGTGTTTGCTAGTTGAGATAAGGATAGCTGTACAGAGAGATTCCTGGCATTGCTTCCATGTACAAAATGCGTTACAATCCGAATTGATTCATCTCTACCTGACCTCTTCACTACTTCCCAGTCACCTTCCCATAGTGACCTCTGTCTCTTTAAGGTTTCTGTATTAGTTCCTCTGCAGTGGGGACATCAAACGCTTTCAAGTTTTGGGTTTTCTACCTATCCCCATTCCTCCCGTATGTGCTCTCCCCTTGTCATGTGACCCAAGTCCAACAACATTGCTGCCTTTGCCCTAGATCTAAAGTCTGCATATGAGGAAAAACATACAATTTTTGGTCTTCTGAGCCTGGCTCACCTCACTCAGGATGATGTTCTCCAGTTCCATCCATTTACTTGTGAATGATAAGATTTCATTCTTCATGGCTAAGTAAAATTCCATTGTGTATAAATACCACATATTCTTAATCCATTTGTCAGTAGTGGGACATCTTGGCTGTTTCCATAACTTGGCTATTGTGAATAGTGCCGCAATACACATGGGTGTGCAGGTGCCTTTGGAGTAACCTGAATCACATTCCTTTGGGTATATCCTAGGAGTGGGATTGCTGGATAATATGGCAGATCTGTGTTTAGTTTTTATGAAGCCTCCATGTTGTTTTCAAGAGTGCACTAGCTTGCGTTCCCACCAGCAGTGTACAGGGGTTCCTTTTTCCCCACACCCTCCTCAACATTTGTTGGTGGTGGTCTTGATGACAGCTGTTCAAACAGGAGTGAGGTAGAATCTTAATGTGGTTTTAATTTGCATTTCCTTTATGTCTAGAGATGGTGAGCATTTTTTCATATGTTTTTTTGGCCATTTGAATTTCTTTTGAGAAAGTTTTGTTTAGTTCTGTTGCCCATTTCTTTATTGGTTCATTGATTTTGGGAGAGTTTAGTTTTTTGAGCTCCCTATATATTCTGTTTATCAGTCCTTTGCCTGATGTATAGCTGGCAAATATTTTCTCCCACTCTGTGGGTGGTCTCTTCAGTTTACAGACCATTTCTTTTGTTGTCCAGAAGCTTTTTAATTTCATGTAGTCCCATTTGTCCATCTTTTCTTTTAGTTGCTGAGCCACTGGGGTTCTATTGAGGAAGTCATTGCCTGTGCCTTATTACTTCCAAAGTATTCCCTGCTCTTTCCTGTACTAACTTCAGAGTTTAGGGTCTGATATTAAGGTCCTTGATCCATTTTGAGTTGATGCTAGTACAGGGTGATAAACATGGATCTAGTTTCAGTTTTTTGCAGGCAGAAACCACTTTTCCCAGCAACATTTGTTGAAGAGGCTGTCTTTTCTCCATCATATGTCTTTGGTGCCTTCATCAAAAATAAGGTGGGCATAACTGTGTGGATTCATATCCGGGTCTTCTATTCTGTTCCATTGGTCTTCTTATCTGTTTTTGTGCCAGTACCATGCTGTTTTATTTCTATTGCTTTGTAATATCGTTTGAAGTCGGGTATTGTGATACCGCCAGCATTGCTCTTTTTGCTGAGTATTGCCTTGGCTATTCGCAGTCTCTTGTGTTTCCAAATGAACTTCTGGGTAGGTTTTTCAAAATCTGTGTTGAAAGTCATTGGGATTTTGATGAGAATTGCATTAAGCATGTAGATTGCTTTTGGTAGTATAGCCATTTTTACTATGTTGAGTCTACCAATCCATGATCATGGGAGATCTTTCCACCTTCTGTAGTCTTCCTCAATCTCTTTCTTCAGAGGTTTGTAGTTCTCTTTGTAGAGATCATTCACATCCTTTGTTAAGTTTACTTCTAGGTATTTGATTTTTTTTGAGACTATTGTAAATGGAATTGTTTCCATATTTTCTTTCTCAATTTGTTCGTTGTTGGTGTGTAGAAAAGCTAATGATTTTGTAAGTTGATTTTGTATCCTGCCACCTTGCTGTAGCTGTTTATGGAATGTCTCCCAAGCAGCTTTGGAGCTGGCGTCTGGCAGTGGCAGCAGCTCTCCTGTTTTCTCAGTGTAACGTGGCATGGAGAAGCTTTCCATGGTTTAGGGGTTCAGGGTGTTGGAAGTTTTGATTCTCTTGGTGCTTTATTTCCGCCGAATGTGGCTCCACTGTCTCAACAAGGTTTTGGAGTCATGGAGCTCACACTGTCTGCTTCTGTGCCTTAGTCGCCATCTTGAGTCCTCCCAGTACTACAATTAATTTCCCTCACTCAATTATCAAACATTTTTATTTTAAATCCGCTTTCTTTTGGGAAAAGAAGTTTTGGAAGTTTAACTCTTAAACTTCTATGCCTTAACTTTTGCTAAAGTTAAAACCTTCATTGTGATATTGTTCTCATTTCTCTTTCCCCAGCCCCCAAAGTGCATTGTATTGTCTCACAGAAAATCTTAAGAGTTCAGTCCTTACTTCTAGTTCCATTTCAAAATAATTAGCATTTCTTTCTTTTTTATAAATGTGATATATTTAGGTGCCAAAATATAGAATGTAATCCCAAACTCTTAATCTTTATTTACCTTTAATTCTTGATTAAAGTAATTTATGAATTCTTCTCTTGATCTCAGAAAACTCTCCAGCTTTATTCCTTTCTCTTGCCCAAAGCACCAACATGTAGGGAACCCTGTACAAGGTAGCAAAAATGAAAAGACACTATCCAGTCTTAGTCTTAGAGGTTGCTTCTTTATATAAAATTGTGTTCATGGCTTATGCAAGAAATGATAACCTTTTATATAGCATCTAATTTTTTTCCAAGTAAATTTCGGAATTTTCTCTTCAAAATGTCTTTTTAGGAAGATGGTAGTATTCCTGTTTTTTTAGCTCTAGAGAGCCAAATTCTATTTTAATGGCTTTCTAAATTGATGCAACAAGTTATTGACAGACTAGAATTAAAATTTGCTGCAGTCTTTGCATTTTTTTTTCCCTGCTAGACCTGTGCTAACAGTTTTTTTTGCTCTTGTTTTACCTCTGCTTGGCTTCTCTTAACCCAACCTGCTCTTTCCTCCTTTTTCCTTCTATCTCTCTCCAGCTCTCCTCCTAATCCCCCCAAAAACTTCAACTTGATAATCTTAAATTTTAAATAAGTTACTTGTCACAAGGAACCAGAAAAATACTATACTTAAGTAATATTTTAAGTCAAGAAAATTATTGTGAGACAATTACATTTTAGATGTACTGGTCAAAATTCATTTTGTCCTTTTTTATAAAAAATCAGACTGCCATAAAAATACCAAAATAGAATATAAGACATGTACCCCTAATTAATCACCACTGTGAGACTCCTTGGCTATTTTTATATTTCTAGTTTCACTTCAAGTATTTCTTGTGAGCAAGTAGAGAGGTGTATATATGTTTTTAGTCATTATAAGGAGTTCTGTGTTTGACTTTATTTTAATGTATTTCTGTTGATAAAAACACAGCCAGTCTTTTATGTCCTTTTTAGAGTAATATTAGGGGTTGATAATTATGTTACTACATTGATGGAACAAATTTTTTTTTCTTTCAAGGGTGTGCCATAGAATGACGTGTTGTTTCTGTTTCTGTCATCTTGTTTCTAACAGGAAGTTGAAATAATTTTAAATATATGCTCAATGGTAATACGCAGTAAAATCAGACCCTCCAGATGCCCCAATATAGTATGTGTGATACCACTGAGGTTCTCTCAGCCCTTGAAACCAAACTAGAGTGAGCACCTTTCTTTACTAAATATACAATGCAGTTTTACCAGTTGCAGTTATAAAAAGCACATGCCTCCTATGATTGTACCTGTCCCTGATACTTAGGGCACCCTTTATCACTCTGTGATTTCTGTTCTCCCTATCCAGGGTTCTCCACTGTATTCCCCTTTTTCTTGATCTTTCTTATTGCTACCCTCCATCATGAGTTAGAAGGTACTGGATTTGCTAGTTAATAGATTTCTGAGAGATTGGATGGAAAAAAATGCTGGACCAAAGCAGAACCTTACCTGTGTAAGAACTTAGGGTAAAACATTGGTGCTTTGAAGCGTTACAAAGGCCGGTGTGAGCATTTTATCAGAGCAAAAGAATCTTCAGAAGCTAATAGCCCCTGTTGTCTAGTCATTTGCTGGACATCCTTTAGATGTTAGCTCTACGGAGGTGGGGGCAGAAGGGAGTGTGTTTAAATCCCTAATAAAGGAGTTGCTCACTGTATTCTAATAGACCTCAAAATGAGCAATATATTTCACCACAATAACAATTTTTTAAAATATTTAAAGTAACATAGAAAAGCAACAAGTAGAAGAGGTGGTCTGAGCTAGGAAAATAGCAAAAGAGATCAATTAGAAAAGGGAAAAATGGTTAGTAGAGACTTTGCTCATTGTGAGAATAGGGATCATTGCCTGGATCAAAGCTGTCTTGTTCACTGCTGTGTTCCTGGTATCGTCCTCAATAAATATTGTTGAGTGATTCAGAGAGTGAGATGAAGAGGATGGTGAACAAGATAAAAGAATTCCGGGATGGTGGGTTATTCTTTAAATGCCTGTGTTAATAAATAAACCTGATATTTGGGAAAAGTTTGTTCATTTTCTCTTCCTCTGAGTTCTTCAGCTTATGGCATTGGAGAGGTCAAGCCCTTTTATAACTGCTTAGCATCTGAGCTTACCTGTAATATTTAAAACAAGTATTTTTGCCACAAAGAAAGCTTCATTATTTGAAAGACTTCAGTAAAATGTCAGAGACTTCCTGGTATTTGATAAAGCAATATGAATGAAAGAATTGTTTTTTAAATTGTGCCTATGTGTGACTTTACTCTTCATTTGTTAGGTGGCATCCTTAGCTGGACCTGGAGGGCAAGTGGAAATAGAACAGAATTTTCTTAACAATAAATTGAAGACAATCACTGCTTATTTTGGTGATCTGATCCGAAGACCAGCCTCTGAAACCTAAATGTGAGGCAGTGTAAGGACAAGAAGATCATGTAATGGGCAGGACAGTCTTCACATGAGACACTGGGGACATGTCTTCCTGTGCTCACTAATATTTTGTATCCTATCTTATGTATGTAGTACATGTTATGTGATACAGAAACCTTTATGAGTTTTTTGAAATCTTGGGAGAACATTACTGTGACCCATATACATCTGAACAGTAAGTGTCTGATACAGGAAGAGGAGAAGTATGCCCCTGTGCTTAATTTCAGTGTGTCTCTGTATATGTGTGTTTATTTTTTTTAACTTCCTGTGTTTTGACTTTAATTTTGTTTTAACTTCTTACATATTAACAAAATTAATCTTTATTATTATCTTTGTGTGTATGTGTATATGTATATATAAAAAACTGCTTTTTTAATATAGTGCAATACAAAGAAAACAATGAAAAGGTTATGCTCTGTCCATCCATTTAACCCCTACTGAAATAATGATGTTATATTATTTAATGCTAGAAATGTAAACACAAAATGGTTCAAAAAGAAAAGTCTCCCAACAACTTCCCTATGCTTTTGTTCATCTGTCGAAAGATAATCACAGCTAACGATGTTTATAATTCTTTTGGGGAACAGAAAATAATTGCAGTATACCTTAGTACACTTTTTTTCCCCCTTGTTCAATATCCTCCCCCTCCCCTTTTTTTTTTTAACTTAATGCATCTTTTTTTAATGTAGGTATTCTTTTTTATCAGTGTATGTTGAAAACCTTCCCATATTAGTACATATATGTCTTCTACCTCATCTTTTTAATGGCTGTCTTATAGTCCATCTTCTGGATATGCCATAATTAATTAAACCAGTTTCCTATTGATGGACACAGGCTGTTTTCACAGTTATTCTGCACTGTACTTACACAGTGTTGAACAAGTATACTCATTGGGTATATTTCCAGTGTTTGGATTACTGGGGATTTGTACATTTTCATTTTGATAGGTATTGTCAAGTTACCTCAACAAAATTGAACCCATTTTTAAACTTTTTTCTAGACCTTTCTTATCATCATGTCTTTGCTTTATCTGGAGTTTGCTTTTTAACATCCATTTATCTTAGAAAGTTTAATGTGTTTCAGATTTCCATTGCAAAATCAACATAAAATATATTTTGTAATATACAAGTTTATATTCTTTTTCTATTAAAATGACAGTGAAAGGAGGAGGAATATGTGTGACTTATTCACCTTAAACGTGTGCTCAGTCCTTTCTACATGTAGGTAAGAAGAGTGCCATACAGCTCTGCAGCCATTACAGGTTGCATCTGAGACTTTAATCTTTTAATAATATGAGCATATAAAACATTAAGCAAAACATGATCAGGGCTGGGGAAAATGAAATAAATTGCAGGAATTTTCAATAAGCATTAGAAAGTTAGACAAGAAAAATAACTGACTGAGAGTCTAGAGCTCAGTGGGAGAGCATGTGGCTAGCACGCCGAGGCCCTGGGTTCAATCCCGAGAACCAAAAAAAAAATAATAATATAAAAAGTAGTTTTGTTGAAAATGCCAGCATAGACTAGAAATTTTACATATTATGCCCAACTGCCCTGCAATACAAGCAGTTGAGTGGTCATAAAGGGTGAAGTTACTTTTTTATAGAATCTGTCCAAATGTTCTTTATACATTCCCCTCTTCTCCCCCAGGACTGAGGATTAAACTCTAGTAGCAGTTCTGTACATGGCCCCTGAAGCTGGAAAGGTGACAGATAAGAGTAAAAGCAATTTCCAGAATCAATTATTTTTTAGTTTTTTGTCATAACCTTCATGCATACATTTTACACAACTCATATTCTTACTTGTATATTAAAACTAATTTGTCTTTTTGAACATTCATGACCATGTATGTGTGAAACAGAAGTCCTAACCAAGAGTAAAATATTCCTATCCACTGATCACACAGGGATATAACTAATTTATAGACTCACTAATGAGTGCCCTGAAAGACTTTAGAATGTTATAGTCGTTTTGTAACTCTTGTGTAAATAAAATCATACCAGGAAACCAGATATATAAAGTAAAATGGATAAAAATGAAGCTTATGTAGCTGCTTAGAATAAAACATGCCAGCAGCAGTTGGGTGTAGTATACATTCCTATAATCCCAGCCCTCAAGAGGCCAAGACCAAGGCAGGAGGGTTGGAAGTCCCTGCCAGCCTGGATTACATACCCAGAACCTGTCCCAGAAAAACAACAAATCTAGCATCCCCTATTGTGGGCCAACCTGATCTTTTCTCTTGTTATATTGTGAAACTTCTTTAGTTTGTTTTTTGGGTTTTTTTTTTGAGACAGAGTCTCAATATATATCTCAGGCTGGCCTAGAATTTAGTGTGTAGCCCATCCTAGCCTCAAACTCAAGATCCTTCTGCTTTTGCCTGTCAAGGGCTTAAATCACAGGCACGCACCACCATGCCTGGCTTAAATTATAAAAGTTTTTAAAGAATATAAAATAAGTACGTATGTTAACAATTTAAATGCATACTTTAGCAATTTAAATACAAAGTGAGCCTCTCCCTTGAACTCTTTCTCCCATCTGCCACATTTCCATTCCCCTTCTCAAAGGTGACCACTGTTACCCACCTATATGTATCCTTTAGATATTTCTCTGTGAAATAGAAACTTGTGCACACACCAGAGTGGATGGGATTATGTCGTTGTGGTCCCTGAAGGTGCTGAAGGCTGAACCTCGGAGTATGTGCTGACCATGCACTCTACCACTGAGCTCTACCCACTGGTCCTGAAACTTTATTTTTAGTGTCTTGCAAGTTACTCTGTGTCAATGCATGCGAGAGATATATATATATATAGCCACCAACTGCATGAAAAGAACCAATTTTCTTCACACTCCCAAAAGCATTTTATATTTTCACTTCTCACTACTACCTGATCAACAAAAAGTAGGGGTTTTTTGTTCATTTTGTTGGGACTAGGGTCTGAACTCAGGGGAGATGGAGTCTCACCAACTGTTTGCCTAGGTTGGCCTCCAACTACAATCCTCCGACCTCAACCTTCCAAGTAGCTAGGATTACAGGTGTGAGCTACAGGTACCCACCTAAAAGTAGTTACTTTTAATTTGCATGTCCTGATGGCTAGTGCAGTCTGAGCAATTTCTCATATTATAAAAATGGATGTTAGGCATCTAGTTTTTTTGTCAAATGAATAATTGCTACTTTTCCTGTTAAATGAACTAACCTTTCTCTACTGATTTGAAATTTAACCTTTATGCATTTGTACATGCATATGTAAGATTCTGCTCCTAGAGTTTTTTTTTTTTTTGTCACTTTGATCCACTTAGCCATTCTTGTCATCTTCCTTGTCAGCCTTGTCTGTATGAGTTAGCAGCTGCAAATTCCCGTTACTAATCTCTCAAAATTTTCTGGCTCTTGCTGAGTATTACTACTTTTTTCAACGAACTTGAATTTATCAATTTCTGTTTTCAAAATCCTTTGAGTTTGTTGTTTGTGTGCTTGTTTTGCTCTACTGGGAATGAAACGCAAGATCTCCAGCATGCTAGGCAAGTTCTGTACCCCTAAACTACATCCCAGCCCTCTTTGGGTGTTTTAACTTTCAGTTTAGGCTAATGCAGATACTTTAAAGTGACAGAGGCCAACAGAAGAAGGGGACCAGGAACTAGAGAAAAGGTTAGTTTGAGAAGAATTAATTTAGAAGGTAACACACATGTACAGGAAAGCAATGCAAGTCAACTCCCTGTATAGCTATCCTTATCTCAACTAGCAAAAACCCTTGGTCCTTCCTATTGTTGCTTATACTTGCTCTTCAACAAAATTAGGATAAGGGCAAAATAGTTTCTGCCTGGTAGTGAAGAGTGAGAGGTAGGGGACAGGGTAAGGGAGGGTACAGGGGGAAGGGGGAAGAAATGACCCAAACATTGTATGCACATATGAATAAAAGGAAAAAAAAGAAACTTTCAGTTTAGGAAAAGCAAGATCATCACAAAATTGTATCTTACTATCCAAAGACTGGATATGTCCTATTCTGATCTTTCATGTATTTCAGGAAAACTATATCATTGTATTGTTTAAATCTTTCTTTTGCCAAGTTTATTGCTTGGTGTTTCATGCTTTTTGTGGGGGGGAGGGGCGGCAATATACCTGTTGAGCTATGCCCTTAGCCCTTCCTTGCTTCAGTCTTTTCTCAGATAGGGTCTGGCATTTTTGTCAGGGCCAGCCTCAGGCTACCATCCTCCTATCCGTGGCCTCCCATGTAGCTGGGATTACTAGCTCACACCACCATGCCCAATGTATTTGTTAGGATGGATCTCAATTAACTTTTTGCCAGCCCTGTAGCATTTTTTAAATCTCTTTTATTCAGATTTTTAATGCCTATAATCCCTAGAAAGTATCCATTCATTTCAACTTTACATATTAATATGAAATTAGTACCTTATCTCAGGATATTTGTCTTGCTCTCTTTTTAACTTCTTACTTGAGGATAATTCTACTTATTAAAAAAGATGGGAGGATGGAGGTATGTTTCAAGTGGTAGAGCACCTGCCTCACAAGTGCAAAGCCCTGAGTTCAAACTCCAGTACCACCAAGAAAAAAAAAAAAAGCTGGAAAAATAGTATAAAGAATTTTTGTAGGGATCCAAGATGACGACCAGAACACAGCCACAGACCTTCTGACCTCCCTGATCCAGAGACTTTGATGAGATGCTGGAGACATGCTTGACTGAGGTAAAGCACTAGGGAGAGCTGAAACATCAGCACTCTGGGCCCCTAGCTCCTGGGAGTCCTCTCCACCCCACCATATACTAAAAGAATACCTGGTGCTGCACACCAAGCCCCACCCCATAGGCCTGTGAAGCTGCTGCTCCATACACGCTGGGATCTCTGATCCTCCGGCCCTGCTCCTTTGCCCCACCAGGGCTGTGCTACCCCAAACTCCCACCCCTCAGACCTGCAGGATCTGCATGGGATGAGCCCTTAAGGCCAGGGATCCACAGACACCTATGATCTCCGCCAGGACACGCCACCCCCCCCCAGGCCTGCACAGTCCTGCAAGAGCTCCATCATGCTGGGCTGCTGTCCCCAGCCCTGCACGACATCTGCTCTGCCAGCCACGCCCCCAAAGCCTGCACAGCACTGCACTATATTCACTCTGCAAGGCTGTTTTCCCTAAGGCCTGCCAAGCCGGGGACACACACACACACACTATCTCCGTTCTGCTCCAGCTGACACCCCAAGCCTGTCAAGCCAGGGATCCATAGACACACAGGATCTCCACTCCCCCTGCTTGTGCCCTTCAGGCACACCAAGGCCATGCTCCAAAGGCCCGCTACTTCACCTCAGCTAAAGGCCTCCACCTGAAGGCCCGTGGGACCCCACCCACTGTCCACCTGCCACAGTAAGGCTCCAAACCTACCTAAGAGACACACACAGACAGTTCTGCATGCTGAAGAACTAACATCAGAACAACTAAGACTGCAATTCTACTGCTCCAGAACTGGTGATTTTCTTTTTTTTTTTTTTTTTTTTAAGTTTTAATTTTTTTTCCCCTTTAAGGGATTTGCTGCCTGGTTTACTGTTTAATCATCCACCATCTCTACCATTTTTTTCCTCTTTTACTCTCTACTCTATTCCTATTATCTTTCCATCTCTCTTTTTTATCCTTCT